TGTATAATTTTGAAATAATCAATCTTGTATTTGCATGGTAAAGTTGAAATTAAATTCACTTTAATGTGTATGTAATTGTACAATGCAGATTATCTACTGTTAATTTCACAAGTCTGTTTCTTGATTAATGACTGCTGCCTTCAACTTCTCCATAAGCTGGATTATTGACTAATTCTCCTTAGCTACCTTTTACTTCTCCATAAACTGGATTATTAATTACATCCCTTCTGTTTCCTTCTATTTCTTCATAAACTGGATTACTATAATCATTAAACTGTTGATCTGGTATGCTTCATTAGTTGCAGTAGATGCTTTCTGTTTTTGTAATGAGGTAGCTCCTGTTATTAATATTTAATAAATAAGCACATATGCACACACACACACACACACACAACACACTATAAATACTTACTATGCAATTTCCTTTTGTAGATAATGGCAGAACAAACTGATACAGAGAGAGAGACACATCATCAATGATAATATGACGACACCCAATGATGTCAGGATTATAACTATAACATACAAATGGTACCTAATAATAGTCAAGGCAACTAACCAGCATTAACCGGCATTAAGACCTGCTAAAACAGTTGTGACAGTAGAGGATGACTGGGTGGTAGTATTAGTAGGTGGAGGAGGAGCAGTTGTAGCAGTGAGATTGGTTATAGACCTCTTTGGGTGAGAATGAATTACGTCAAAGAATGATATACGGCAAGGGGCGTGACTGAGCCTGGCTGACTCTGAAATAATTTTCGTGGACGGCAACTTTTTATGGAGTATGAATGGGCTAATGCAGAAAGCAAGCTCTATTAAAGAATATGCTTCATATTGCACCAAATCTCTTTTAGGAGATGCTTAGCAGTGACCATTCTTTCCTCCAACCAGCTTTTGTAGCTTGAAAAAGCTCCATGCCAACGAAAAGAATCAGTTTTGCCTTTTCTTCATTCATCCTCCATTGAATCTTGCCGTCCAAAATGGCGGCCAATTATCACCGTAGGTGGATACCGTAATGAACAGTAATGATATTCATAGGCCACCGTCAATCTCACCCGAAGAGGTCTATTATGAGGATATGTATCTATTATAAGCAGGGGCGGATCTAGGATTGGATTCTTGGGTGTGGTAATTAGTGGGTGTGGCCAACAAAGCCAAAATTCAGAGTCAAAATTTTGAAGATTAAAGCTGTTAAAATGAGCTCCTTTGTGGTTTAAAAATTGTTTGCATAGTCATGCTTCACAGTTTACATAGTCATCCACATGAAAAAGTTGATTTTAAACAAGAAGGTGCACTATAAAACCATTCACGCAACGTCATGAAATCGCTTCCGTCGATCACAGTATAAAAGGAGGTGCCCAGGGCACAATATGGCGGCCAGATTGAATGAAATTTGAAAATAACAAAATGGCTCCCGCACTGGCACTGTTCTTATCATGGCTAAATCACTAGCAAAACGCATTATAAAAACATTAAAATTAACAAAGGTGAGAGAGTTAACCTACAAGCACACCTAGAAAGCATAGCAAGGAGAGAAATGGTATAATTGACTTGAAGTAATAATTTTACATTATTATCAAATATTATA